TGGTATTATTTATTTAAATATTTTATATGTATTTTTTTTTAAGTACAAAACGGCGCAGCGTAAGTACTATACTATTTAATAATTTATTGCTAAGTAAGCGTCTTCGATTCCACTGTTATCGGGTACGCTTACTGTTGATGTTGTTGTATATGCGGTCAATGCCTGGCAAGCATATGGTTAACTCGAAGGCAAAGTGCCGCCGATATGTGTGGTGTCAAATTCCTTGTGTGGAATTATGCATTTGTTTGTAAACAATGCAATGCGCTTGGAAACAATTAGTGTATTTTTATATACACTGCGCATTTAAATATAGAACCACTTATTATTATATTAATTGTATGCATTGCCAATATAACTAATGCATATACATTACATTATAACAAAATAGAAAAACCTGTGCGAAAAACCCAAACTATTTTTAAACTGTTTTTAGTATGTAAGATCTTTTAAAAAACGAAATTATACAGAATAAAGTGAATTATCTTGTGTAAGCGAAAGGTTGTATTTTTTCTTCAATGTTGAATTGTGAAATTATTAGTACTATTTGGAAACTGGTATAGAATAATTTAATCCATATCAAATTTTTTACATCTTATTGCTCTGACAAACTATTTATTCTGAATTCTTTTTTCATGGATGGATTTATATAATAGATAAAAATTAATCTTATAAATTGCAAAACCATAACTATTTTTTATTTCTTAGATTAATTAAATTCATTTAATTTTTTTAATACAATGATGTTTTTACTTTGTTGACATGTCTTTCGGTTAATATTTTCTTATGCGGCTTACATCATCATAGCGTTAAGACTGACATGTTACCAGGACGTGCAATCAGCCGATTATATATTGCAAATGCTAACCGGCAGGATACAGGAAATTATTCTTGCATGCTTGGTACTGATGTAACAGGCACAGTTTTGGTCCACATCTTAAATGGTAAGAAACTGATATAAAGTGAAAATTAATTGGATATTAATTTATGTCTCTTGATAATAGGAGAAGAACCCGCAGCTATGCAACATGCCACTGCACAGAGACAGCAACATTCATTATCGCTCATAGTATATAACTTATTTTTAATAGTTTTCCAAAAACGATGACGAAACATATGGATTCATTAGTATAGAATTAAGATATAATTTTTATGATTTACAAGTAAAATAATATATAAATTTTGAATCGACCATATTCACAAACTGTATTCAAAACATATAAAACCGTTTATAAACACTTATTTGTATTAAAACCATTAAGGGGTCTTGCATTTAAACCCTATTTAAGCATTAATTCCCTAAAAGTGGTCCGTGCCATTTACATATTCTAACAACAACTGTTTTAGGCTAGTCATCTGAAGTCAGGATAGCTGGTTTAATCCTGTCTGCTACTACTGCGACATCTTTACCTTTTATGCTGATGACGTAGTTATTCTCCTTGCAATCAACAATTTGGTAAGGACCATCGTAAGGCTGCTCGAAAGGTACCCACATGCGGTCGATGCGTAGAAAGGTGCTGCGCACAAACACCGGTTGTTAACCATGTCGCAGTCCAGGTTGAGTTCGTATTTTGCCCAAGTTTTTGCGCAGTAACTTCACTATGGTTGTTTTGCTTGGTTTGATTTTTACCAATTGCCCCAAAACGTTAAAAGAGTTGCCGAATAACTTTTCCTCAGAACTGGTAGTTATGTTTGCTTCGGCGCTATTCTAAGACCCAACATTATGAAAGGAAAGATTTTTGTTCAGTTGCTGGAACCGTGACAACGTATGACTGTATTATGACTGAGTATTATATGACATTTATCACTAATTAGCAAAGGGTCTGACATTATAAATTTGCAGTAATTGCTTGTCGGAATTACTTGGTCCTGTATTGCAATCATGAATGCCTCAGTTTCAGCAAATAGGGTTCTACATGTAAGCCATTTGTACGACATAATTTTATCGACATTGTCGGCGTTAGTGGATCTATAATATCTTCCATGTAGCTTGCTCTTTACACTGCCGATCTTGTGCTTTTCTTTCAAAAGTTCCTTCCAAATTTAATGGTGTGTAATGCTTGCCTGCTTCGGTTAAAATTTTAAACAAGATATAATTTTCTGCATTCTTTAAAAAATATTCTCTCATTGATATAATTTGATTGTCATGTAGTTCTTGCAGATCAATAAGGCCTCTACCTCCTTCCTTTCTAGGCATAGTCATTCGCTCACAACATGACTTTGGATGGTGGAATTTGTATTCTGTGAGCATAGTTCGTATTTTTCGCTGCATCGCTTGTATCTCAGTCGTTGTCCATTGTATTATTCCGAAACAATAAGTCAGAATGGGAATAGCAAAAGTATTGATGGCTTTTATCAAACATTTACCCTGCAGATTCGTCTTGGCTATCTTATGAATACGTCCTTTAAATTCACTATATACTTTATCTTTTACAGCTTTGTGTGCTATTCTTCTGCTTTGAGATACACCAAGATATTTGTACAGTTCGTCTTCTTCCATGTCTTTAATAATCGATTCATTTTGCTCAAAATTTTCGAATTTAACGATTTTTCCATGAACAATGCTGATTTTTCTGCATTTTTCAATGCCAAACTTCATTCTAATGTCATTACTGAAGTCCTCGACTATTTTAATAAGCTTATCTAAGGTTTCTCGCGTCGAAGCATATATCTTTAAATCATCCATATACATGAGATGATTTATTTTACATTCTCGAGAATTGCCTTTAATTTTGAAGCCATACTTTGCGTTCCTTAAGAGATTACTAAGTGGATTGAGCGCCATACAAAACCACAAGGCTGACAGGCAGTCACCCTGAAAAATTCCTTGTCGAATACTTATTTCATCTGTTCGTATGACACCATTTTGAGTGAACATTTCTATGTTTGTTCGCCATCTCGTCATGTTGTGTTCAAGAAAATTAACAATAGTTGAATGAATACCGTATATATTCAGGACTTCAATCAGCCAACTGTGCGGGACACTATCGAAAGCCTTTATGTAATCAATAAAACACATGTGTAGGTTTCTATTTTTCTTAGCTGCTTGTTCCAATATTATTTGGTCAATTATTAGTTGTTCTTTACATCCTTTTGCGTGTTTTTGCATCCCTTCTGTTCTATGCACATTATATCGTTTTGTGTAAGGTATGTATTTATAAGATCGCTAATACAAGCAGTCAGTATCTTATATATTGTTGGGAGACAATTTAAATCCATTATTCTTCGCCATTAGATATGTTTTTCCTTTCGTAAAACTGATTGGAAATGTTGCAGGGTTTTGTAGACATTCATTTAAAAGTTCAGTTGATTTTTGATGGATTGCAGTAAATCTTTTAAACCAAAAGTTTTGTATGTGATCTGGTCCAGGAGATTTCCAGTTGTGTGTTTTTGCTATAATTCGTTTGACCAGATCACATGTAATTAAACAAGTTGACATTTTTTTTCTTGATATTTTCTTATTATTATTATTATTATTATTATTATATTATTATTATTATATTATTATTATTATTATTATTATATTATTATTATTATTTATTATTATTATTATATTATTATTCATTATATTATTATCTATTATTATTATTATTATTATTATTATTATTATTATTATTATTATTATTATTATTATTATTATTATTATTATTTTTATTTAATTCTCCTTAATGGGTTTTTTGGTAAGTTTTGGTGGCCTAAGCCAGTACAAAATATAACACAATATCTATATATTTATTTAAACTATTTTAACTAGTATTTGATTGGTATTTTAAATTAATTAATATTTAAAAATTTGCGAGTAATATGACAGGAATCAATTATAACACTTTTCTGGATGTCATCAATAATTCGCTGGTTTAATTCAAGTCTTCGAATATGCGACAATAAACTTTTTGGCGTTACACCTTCAGCACTAATTATAATTGGAAGATTTTCAATTTTGTTAAGGTTCCAATTACGTTTTGTTTCCACAGCTAATTCTGCGTATCGACTACATTTCTCAAAATAAGTACGATCCATGTTTTTGGTCATTGGTATTGCAACATCAATGAAGAGTCCTTCTCGACGTCTTTTATCAACAATAATTATATCTGGTCTATTGTGCAACCTCGTGTGATCGGAATAAATAGTTCGATCGTAATAAATTTTTACGTCTGGATTATCATATACTGCTTGTGGTGTATACTTATAGTATGGAACATTTTCTCTATCAATAAGTCTATATTTATTGCATATTTGCTTATGTAAAATATTAACCACGTTATTGTGTCTCTTTGTATATTCTCTTTGTGCTAAGCATGTACATCCTGCCAGTATGTGATCTACAGTTTCCGTTTGTTCTCCACATTGCCGACATTTATCACTAATTAGCGAAGGGTCTGACATTATAAATTTGCAGTAATTTCTTGTCGGAATTACTTGGTCCTGTATTGCAATCATGAATGCCTCAGTTTCAGCAAATAGTGTTCCACATGTAAGCCATTTGTGCGACATAATTTTATCGACATTGTCGGCGTTAGTGGATCTATAATATCTTCCATGTAGCGGTTTGATTGCCCAAGCTTGCTCTTTACACTGCCGATCTTGTGCTTTTCTTTCAAAAGTTCCTTCCAAATTTAATGGTGTGTAATGCTTGTCTGCTTTGGTTAAAATTTTAAACAAGATATCATTTTCTGCGTTCTTTCTAAAATATTCTCTTATTGATATAATTTGATTGTCGTGTAGTTCTTGTAGATCAATAAGGCCTCTACCTCCTTCCTTTCTAGGCATAGTCATTCGCTCACAACATGACTTTGGATGGTGGAATTTGTATTCTGTGAGCATAGTTCGTATTTTTCGCTGCATCGCTTGTATCTCAGTCGTTGTCCATTGTATTATTCCGAAACAATAAGTCAGAATGGGAATAGCAAAAGTATTTATGGCTTTTATCAAAGATTTACCCTGCAGATTCGTCTTGGCTATCTTATGAATACGTCCTTTAAATTCACTATATACTTTGTCTTTTACAGCTTTGTTGCTATTCTTCTGCTTTGAGATACACCAAGATATTTGTACAGTTCGTCTTCTTCCATGTCTTTAATAATCGATTCGTTTTGCTCAAAATTTTCGAATTTAACGATTTTTTCACGAACAATACTGATTTTTCTGCATTTTTCAATGCCAAACTTCATTCTAATGTCATTACTGAAGTCCTCGACTATTTTAATAAGCTTATCTAAGGTTTCTCGCGTCGAAGCATATATCTTTAAATCATCCATATACATGAGATGATTTATTTTACATTCTCGAGAATTGCCTTTAATTTTGAAGCCATACTTTGCGTTCCTTAAGAGATTACTTAGCGGATTTAGCGCCATACAAAACCACAAGGCTGACAGGCAGTCACCCTGAAAAATTCCTTGTCGAATACTTATTTCATCTGTTCGTATGACACCATTTTGAGTGAACATTTCTATGTTTGTTCGCCATCTCGTCATGTTGTGTTCAAGAAAATTAACAATAGTTGAATGAATACCGTATATATTCAGGACTTCAATCAGCCAACTGTGCGGGACACTATCGAAAGCCTTTATGTAATCAATAAAACACATGTGTAGGTTTCTATTTTTCTTAGCTGCTTGTTCCAATATTATTTGGTCAATTATTAGTTGTTCTTTACATCCTTTTGCGTGTTTTTTGCATCCCTTCTGTTCTACGCACATTATATCGTTTTGTGTAAGGTATGTATTTATAAGTTCGCCAATACAAGCAGTGAGTATCTTATATATTGTTGGGAGGCAAGTAATTGGACGGCCATTTGCTGGGTTTCCTTTAAATCCATTATTCTTCGCCATTAGATATGTTTTTCCTTTCGTAAAAATGATTGGAAATGTTGCGGGGTTTTGTAGACATTCATTTAAAAGTTCAGTTAATTTTTGATGGACTGCAGTAAATCTTTTAAACCAAAAGTTTTGTATGTGATCTGGTCCAGGAGATTTCCAGTTGTGTGTTTTTGCTATAATTCGTTTGACCTGATCACATGTAATTAGACAAGTTGACATTTTTTTTTCTTGATATTTCTCTTTCTCTTTTTCAATCCAAAGAGCGGATTCATTATGTTTTTGTGTATTGGACCACAGTGAACTCCAGTAATTTTCTGCACTATTCTTACTTGGATATACGTCGTCTGACGTATTGGCATTGGATCGTATTTTTCTATAGAATTGCTTTTCGTTGTTGTTAAAGAGTCTATTGTTTTCTCGTCTTTGATTCGACAACTTGTATTTACGCTGTCTCGCTACTTGTACACATAGTTTCTGTTTTATAGTGTCTCTTGTGTTAATAATATTCGTGTGATTTGTTTCGTAGCGTGTGTGAAGATTGTATGTTTTTAATATCTTATTGATCCTGTTTTTAAGTCTTCTTGTAGGATTACCTTCAATGTACTTATTTATTCTTTCTAAGTCTCCTCTTAAATGATCAATTTTAATTTGTATTCTTCGTAGCGTATTACTCTTATTTCCATAAATTGCAGCTCTTCGTGGTCCATCTCTGGGTTGTCCTATCTTGCATCCCATTGTAGTAGCAATTGTTATAGCTGATACATATACAATAGTATGTAATTCTTGCAAATTGCTCACATTGTTCAGTTTTGTCAGGATCGCATCATTGTTAAGTGTTTCAATAAGAAAACTTAGCTTCTTACTAGTATTAATTTTCGGAATGCGTGGCCTTAAAAGAGGGTTAAGGTTACTGTAAATGTCAAATTGTTGTTCAAAAATCTCATTTAAGCTATGCTGATTACTTCTAAGTCTCATTTGTTCATTACTTACATCTTCCTGCTGATCCGTGGTTTCATCGACATCAATTAAATTTACATTTAAAGCAGGAGGTGGTTGTTCATTTTCCACTTCTATCGTATTTACATTATTACGTGTTCCTGGTACATGTACGTTTGTAGAAGTATTAGTTGATTCAAATTGCACTTGCTCATTTTCTGCAGTTTCTGTCGATTGATCATTACTTACTTCGGCAACCGATTCTTTGATAGCGTTTCGTCTTGATTCTGGTATAAGATTGTTTCTATGAATAACCCGTACTTGATCTGCTAGTCGCTGTTCGGATACATTATAGTCCGGATGGTGCCCAACGAATATTGTATGTAGTGTAGTTCGATATGCTGTCATATCTCTTTCATTGTTTGTAGCTATATAGTAGGCGCGTAATAAATCTTCATTTATAGTATAAGTCCATTTTCTGCGCTGTCGTGGTCTGCCAGCCACGGTAAGAGCTATATCGGAATGTATATGCTGTTCACCGGACTGCAAAGGTGTTCTATTTCTGTTGTTCTGTGGCATACTTGTCGAACAGGACCCAGGTACCAAATCCTGCACGCGAGAGTTATGCGATCCCGACGCGGTGGGGTTATCCGATCTCCCCAGATTTACATTATTTTGTGACTGCATTGTGTACTATTTGTTCACACCTCGTAGTACACGGGGTGGTATTTTATACCTACTACCAGGTATATCGTCCAGCCGCTCCTAACATGGAGTCAGACACTGACCTAAAAGCCGCCCATTCTGAGTCAGTCGCTTTAGGTTTTTTATTTAAATCCCAGCCGCACTAAATAGCGAAAACAGACGTTGAGATAGAAGGGTTTTTTATTATTATTATTATTATTATTATTATTATTATTATTATTATTATTATTATTATTATTATTATTATTATTATTTTTAATGTTATTACTAATATTATTATTGTGATTATTATTAATGTTATTTTCATTATTATTATTATTTTTATTATTATTATTCTTATCATCATTATTTTTATTATTATTATTATGATTATTATTATATTCATTATTTTTGTTATTATTATTATTATTATAATTATTATTATTATTATTATAATTGTTATTATACTTATTATTATTATTATAATTGTTATTATAATTATTATTATTATTATTATTATGAATAATATTATGATTATTATTATTATTATTATTATTATTATTATTATTATATTATTATTATTATTATTATTATTATTATTATTATTTATTGATTCAAAAAAATTCATACAGCACTTTCATACAGTTCAGATTAAAAAGACCGCCTCTACATTTAAAAAGTAGGCTGGATATGTGCTGAGTGTTTTCGAAATAAAAATTATGCATAATGTCATATTGTAGCTGTGGGTACATATCATGAGATCCCGACCTAGCATTCGCAACAAAGGAGTCGTGTTCACTCCGTTTATATACAATTACAATATTTTTATGCAATTGTTTAAGATCCATTCTCCTAAAACTGGTTATTGAAACACCTAGTTCTAAACACATATGTTCCCAATCTTTGGCCCAATATATACCTTTGCTAATTATAAGTTCAGCTAATATTCGAGGAAGCCTTGTGGGGGGACATTAAGAATTTTGCTTACATATGTCTAACAACTGTGTCGGTGAGCCTGTTTCTAAGTAGAGCATATAGTTGGGGGTGTTGGGGGAGAACAAAATCGGGCTGACCAGACATCCTTGTGTAACTTTAAATGAAGAAGTCATAAGATTACCGTCCTTTACGCAACTGCTGGTATTCGAGTATAATTTCATTAGTGTGGTCAAATACTTATGAGACAAACCTAAAATAGCTAATTTGAAAAATAAGACATTCCTAGGTGTAGTGTCAAATGCACATGTAAAATCCACAAAAAAGGCATATGCTTTTTTATTGTTATTTAAATTTAAGTGTAAAATAGAGGTTAGATTAAAATTATTATCAACACTTGAGTAAGATCTCCGAAAATCGAACTTGGTATTCATTTAGTATATTATTGAGCTCAACCCAGCTATTCATACGCGAAAGTAATATACCAGCAAATATTTTATATATAGAGTCCAGCAATGATAATCCACGATAATTTGAAACTTTATTGGTGTACTACCACGTAATCTGAGGTGGTATCAAATAATGTATTTTCTTACTTCGTTACACTGACTATTAGGCACATAAACCAATAATCAGGTATTTATGACGAAAGGCTTGCAAGCACATAAACCGCTAGCCAAGTAAGTAAATAATTTTTTTTACTTGCTATAGTGGTTAAAAGGCACATCTACCAATAACCAAATTTTGTTTTTGAAGGAAAGACGATTGTTTTCGCTCTCGAGTTTTATTATCAATATTGTTACCTTATATGTATAGTATAGAATTACTTACTAAGCATAATAATATTTACAATTATTGATAACTAAAATAATAATTTAAATTTCACATATTGCTGCATAAGCATAAATACAATATGTGAAGCTATTGAACTTATAAACGTAAACAATGTATTTAATATTTACAATATTTATTTGCTGCATAAGTGTAACTACAAGCGAGCTAAAATATGTTAGGTTTGTTAAACTTAACATTCTGCCCGGCTTGAATTACGTTATTCAAGAATGAATCTATGAGCAATGATTGATTTGATTTGCAATGCGTTATGTGTTTTTTTTTAAAAATCAACAGACAAAATTTTAAAATAATTACAACATTTTGTGGATATATAAATACACATATAATTTTTAAACAATAAATAGTTATACAATATTATATAAACTTAAAAATATAAAATTTAGAGTTTATAGCATCATGAGACTTTGAGAAGCTATGTAATTGTTTCAGGCTCCAAAGTAAATCTTGTTCGTGGCATCGCGTTTGGTGTGAGAGTTTGTGTTGGCTGATTGACTTCTGGACGCTTTACCTGCTTTATTTTCCATACCATCCATATGATGGCTCCAACGACAAGAATTAGGGTTGTGGAATTAATTGCGTAGTAGTGCATGCTGTCCGTCTGTAGTTTGTGTGGTAATTCAGCGAATTTTTCATCTTTCAGAGTATTGTGAAGTAGCTTTAACTGTTTAAGTTCATTGCTGAGATTCAATGAACTTCCTTTAAAATTTGACCATAATTCTGAGTTATTAATGACAGGTATCTCACCAAATGCAATGTAAGATTCATACATGGTGTCGGTAAGCGTTTGATGTGTCTGAATTGTAGACATTTGGTGTTTGAGTACACAGAAGTGTTGCACCTTGTAGTTCTAAATGAGTCGTGATGCCCTTACAGACGGCCGTAACTGTTGTATTGTTTTTTGACCCGAATATCCATTTGTTGTTTATTCAATGTTGTATATTTTTCCTTTGTAATATTAATGTTGTAATTGTTTGGGGAAACAATGTTGAACGTTTTCTCTGATCCAAAATTTGTTGTACTTCGATCTTGTATATTCGAAGTCCCCAAAAGTTTATACAAGGTGAGATGAAAAAACTGCAACCAACTTCAGACTGCTGTCATTTCTAAACCGCTCGTCCCACAGCTGTCAGATTTATTCTAGTGACAGCTCATTATATTGTTTACAAGCGCACAAAAGCATTTTGGTGGGAATTTTTCAAAAAAAAAGTTATTTGTGATGGAATTCAAGCGTGATAGTGTGATTGCTTTGCATTTGGCTGGAAAACCACAAGTGGCTATCGTTAGAGCCCTCCAGCATTTAGAAGTGAATAAATGTTTTGTGTCTCGTACCATCGCTCGTTACCATGATACTGGTAGCGTAGCCCGACGTCAAGGAAGTGGACGAAAAAAAACAGCAACATCGGCAGAAATGGTTCGAAAAGTGAAAAAGCGAATTGAACGAAATCCGCGTCGCAGTGGACGAAAAATGGCTCGTGAGCTGAACATATCGCAATATGCCATTCGGCAAATATTGAAAAATGAGCTTGGACTAAAGCCATTCAAGTTCCAAAAAGTGCAAGATCTTACTGATGCGCAAAAAAAAGTTAGACTCGAAAAAGCTAAAGAGTTGTTTCGCTTGGCCGAAAGTGGTGAACTGCCGAATTTGGTTTTCTCCGATGAGAAACCATTCGTTATCCAGCAGTTTGTAAACAAACAAAATGATCGTGTTTACTTGCCAGAGAGGTCAGCTGAAAATTTGCAACTTCGGTTGGCCATCACAACTCAAAAGCCGGCCATGGTGATGGTGTGGGCCGCCATAACAGCCGATGGTCGCTCGCCGCTCGTATTCATCGACCGTGGTGTCAAATTAAATGCGCAAATCTATCGCGAAAATATTTTGGAGGGAGTTCTGAAGCCCTGGGCACGCAAACATTTCGGCCGCAGACCTTGGACATTCCAACAGGACTCAGCACCATCGCACTCAGCACGCGCCATCCAAGAATGGTTAAGAAATGAGGTTCCTCGCTTCATTTCCACCGCACAATGGCCACCAAAATCTCCGGATGCCAATCCGTTGGACTATTGTGCCTGGGGTATTTTGGAAAGCAAGGTTGGAACTAAAAAATACCAAAGTGTCGATCATCTCAAGCAAGCGCTTCGCCGAGAATGGGACAAAATACCGCAGAGCCACTTTCGGGCCAAAGGTGGCCAATTCGAACAAATCTAAACCGATTCTCAAATTTGATGTTATTTCCGACATTTTTTGCTTTCATTCAATAAAATTTAAAAAAAATGAAAAAATTTATGGCGTTTTACTTTGTTGCAGTTTTTTCATCTCACCTTGTATATCAAATCATGTATTTTATCTATTGTTTATATATTTTATTTCATCTTTTGTATTATATTGAACATTATTTAAAATCTTGTTCATAGTCTTATGTTTTGTTTCGTTTATTTTTGTCACTGAATTAGGTATAAACATCAATGTTATTATTAGTTAAAACAAATCTATCTCCATTTAATTAAAAATCCAACTTTGGTTAACTGCATCTTTAGTCTTTATTAAAAATTCAAAGTCAAGATTATCTTTTTGTTCCAACATTCAAAATTAACTTTATTTTTATTAATTTCACTTTTCTTTACTCAACTCCTTTTTACCATTGAGTTTTCTTAATTCTAACAACATTTGATTAAAATTAAAATTAAAATTAACAATAGGATTTCGACTCCGACTAACTTTTGAATAACATTCCGATCAAGATTAAAATCAAAATTCACATATAGATTCAAATCAAGATTCCTCCAAGAATTCACTTTCTACGATTCGCTTTCTATGACTCACTTTCTATCATAGGTTTTTCACGATTGACTTTCTAATTGACACATTTTACTTTCACTTAAAACTGACTTAAAACTGACACAATTCGAGTTTACATCAAAAACTAACTGCAACTGACTGCAACTGCAACTGACCTAATTAATAAACAGACTCTATATATATAGAGCTGCTTTCACTTACGCTTAGAACTTTCTCTAATATGACCTTTATATTAGACATTGCCCCAATAACCCAGAAAACTTTAAAAATTAATTAAAAATTAATTCTGTAATAATAATTTTGCGTAATTCGCAAAACTATTCATTCTACATATTTCAGTCTTTACCTTGTTACCATTTCTTTTTTTCAAAGTCATTTACAATTGACCCAGATAATAAATACTACAAAAAATCAGCAT